ATCTGAAAGTAAAATAGTTTTCACTTGAATTATATAGTGCAAGTGGTAGATGGTTATAAGGACATTACTCCGATCAATCAGGTTGTTAATATAATTCTCATTGCACTCACTAACAGCCTCCATAAAAATGTTTTAGTGTTTAATGCTGAAATCAGAAGCGTGGTCTTTCTGGGGGACATCTTCGTTCCACGCCCACGCCCCCTTATCAAAATAAAAATGGGACCGTGTGTCCAAAAAGCTTCGTATGAAGCAAAATATTTTAACCAATCAAACGAGAAACAATCCTAATGTGGAAGCTTTTTGATTGGCTGGTTTAAAAACATGATATCATTATATATTTGGTCCTATTACAAGATTGGTCTGTTTCGGTCAAACAAGGTAGAAAGTCACGATGGGTTGGAAACGGAAGTGACGCTGATCTAATATGGATAAATAAATCCATAACTGTATAAATTAGCCGTGAGGACTATTACTAAAGAAATGAGAACACCTCCTCAAGTTCAAATTTATTCAGTTGTTTCAGCATCAGGTCTTTTTTATTTTTTATTTTGGAAAAAAGCCTTCGTCCGAAACCGCCATTAGGCCTACCTAGGCCTGAAAATTGTGTATGGAAATATCATTTCAGGAGTTGAATTTAACACTAAGATATATTTCATTGGATAAAACTGTTGTTTATGAAGTTTAATATAAACGTAGTCTGAAAACTGATTTGATTTGTGTTACCTCCCCTGAATTACCAGCGTTCTTAAATTACAGGGAACACCAAATAGTAAGAATTCAAAGGGAGATATTGTAATCGATCGAGGACCATGAAGGTAACAGAAAAAGAAATCTCTGCTTTAACAGTCGGTAAGATTGGTTCTTTGCATGACGTCATTTGCTTGGTGACGAGCAAATGGCGGCCATGGGCTCTTATCTAGATTTGAAAGTCCGGTGACCTTGAAAAGAATAAGCCATCTTCACTCATAATTCCAGTCCTGTTTGTTATACGCCTGTAAGTTGTAAACATTCAGGGATCTAAAGTTAAGGTCAAATATTTTTCTATCAAGTTAACCTACAAGCTTTCAATGATATTCCGTCCGTGTGCAGGAAATGCAGTAACATAGTTCACTTGAGATACACCAGTTAGAGTTGACATGTTTCTGACTCCCTAAAATGTACAGGTGCCTTGATATGGGCATTATAAGATGTCAAATGAACAACATTCGTGTGTCTGTTTCGAGGAGGAATAAATTAATTTTAGTCATCGACATTTTGAAACATAATCCAAATGTAATTAATCAAAGAAGGCTTCAGA